CATACATGCACATTTAAACAAGTGTTTATACGATTTTGGGCCTGTCTTCTCATTTTGGCTGTTTAGTTTTGAGCGTGAAAATGGTGTTTTGGGCTCTAATCCAACAAACAAAAGTATACCCAATAGCATTCATTTGAAACAGTGTTTGTGAAGTCTGTTTCAGTTCAAATGTTCTTTTTTATACATAATTTGAAGAATACCTGTACTTCGCTAAATGTGGTGGTGGTGGAAATAGCTCCTCCATAGTAGTTGTCTTCTTTGGTGGTGCTCGCTTTGGATGCTGAATCCAAGAAACCCTCACATCAGTCTTGCTAACATTCTTATTACTAAATAGAATATTATAAAGTTTAAAACCTTTAACTTTCAGATAAAAAAAACAGATAAGACATGCGTATATGCCTTTCAGAAAATGTTATACCATACCCATAGAGTAGTAGAGATGCCTTGTGCTGACACTTGTCCTGTATAGTTATCTCCTAAAGTGATCTAAATCAAATAAGTTTATATATAATTTCAGTCAAACAATTTAAATACTATTAGTATTTGTATGGCATTGCGTATATTTGTTGATGCCGAACGGGTACTTACACTGACATGGTAACTCCATCTTCATACTGGCTTGAACCCTCTCCTGGACGTGATTGCTCCCGGATAAACGTAAATTTAAGTATATGGTCTGCTTTTACTGCTAACTCGGATTTTTGATGAAGTTTTTTTGGTTCCAGACACATAATTTAGATTGATTGATTGATTGTATATTGTTTAACGTCCCTCTTAGAATTTTTCACTCATATGGAGACGTCCCTTTTGCCGGTGAAGGGCTTCAAATTTAACCTATACTCGGCACTCAAGGCCATTGAGCAGTGGGGGTTTTTTATCGTGCCAACCCTACCGTGACACGGGACCTACTTTTTTAAGGTCATATCCGAAAGACCCGTGACTTTCACTTCTGTGCCGAGAGCTTGGCGAAGGAACAGTCACTCCCTTTTGTTTACGTCTTAGGTATACCGGCGCCGCGATCGAGAATCGAACCCGGGCCTCCCGATCACGAAGCGAACGCTCTACCACTAGGCTACCGTGACCGGTCACAAAATTTTAGAAAGTATAAAATAAAAAAGGTCATCGCTTCATCACGTGGCGGTTTGTTTGTCTCCAGTGGCTGAAATTCTTAAATCTCGTGAAATCACTCATTTCCGCTTCCCTGCCCTATTGTGGAGTTAAATAATTATTGCACACCCTCTCCTGCAGTCAAAAACCAAGGACATATGTACTACCTGCTAAAACTATGTTCACGTATATCACGTGGAGAAAAACTCAGTGTTTTATCGACACGATAGCACCTACGTCTCTTTGAACAATGTTTATAGGCCGATGTTTCATAAGTTGATATAAGGCTTCATAGCGCAAATTTTGTAAATGTGAGCATAGAATTGAAAGATTATACATCATTTTAAACATTTCTTTCACAAACCTCAAAAAAGAATTAGAAATAAGTTTCCAAGGAAAAATTCAATTTTCCTTTTATTTTCTACACAGCTGGGTACTAGTAGCAGCCCACAATGCATTGCGGTTCATTCAACAGTTGGTAAAGTAAACGATATGCAAATTTATGCTGACGTCAGAAATTCTATTGGTCTCACCTGCTATGCCTATAGCCTTTGTCACTTTGACCTACTTTTCTGTCTACTTTTTTGGAAAATCCAAAGTGCATCAACTCACAAGGTTTGATTATTCCACGCCAGTAAGTACCCATGATACCTAAATAAAGCCATAACATTTGACCAACTTTTTGGTGGACATGCTATAAAAACCCAAGAAAAATTAAAAAAACACATTAACTATCAAAGTTCAAGGGCGTTATTCAAGAAAAGGTTTCACTTTACAAATTTATATCAATCAATGAAAGCGTGTAACATGACAATAAAACCACTACTTTACCTTTTGTCAAAGATGAAGAATATTATGTATGAATATTCGCTTGCTGCAATTATTTTTTATTATCTCTCCACTGGGGATTGATTAAAATGAATTTCGGAAGATAAATGAAACTTATTTTCTCAAGTAAGCTTTCAATACTTTTTGTCCAGCATCTGTCATACTGTCTGTCTGTAAATTTTTTTTTTACATTTCCATTTCTCTTTAAGAACCACTGGTCCAATTTCAGCCAAACTTGGCATAAACACTTTTGAATGATAGGGATCCAGGTTTATTAGAATGAATGCCCAAGCCTCTTTAATATTGTGATAATTAAGAATTATTAAAATTTATTTGTATTTTTCAAAATCTTCCTCTTAAATACAAATAGGCCAAAAAAAGTCATAATTCTGGGGACGCGTCCTTAGGTAGTGTAGATTTATTTTGTTCAAAACTTTTAAAAATCTTGTATTAACAATTTCCAGAAAAGCTGTAACTTGTTTTTAAGGGATCATTATGGCTGATTAGATTGAAGTTTATACAAATCATGATCACCCCAGAAAAGGGGGGCCCTTGGGTAGAATTTTTACATAAAAAGTTTAGATTATTCGGAAAAAAAAAAATATACGAATTTACCTAGATATGTTAGCATTTTGACATATTGTCGTTTATTCATAGTTTCGACTGTTCAAAGTTTAATGTAGGTTTATATACGTGTATATGTATAACACTAGTTTAAGGTCAAACAACGTTCCCAAAAATCTGTTAGGTGTATCTTCGTAATGTATTAAAAATATTTAAAATTTTCATAACATTCTGATTTCTAAACCAGATTCTAGACGTTTTTTAAACAAGAGGCCCAAGGGCCTTAACGCTCTTATGATAAATTATACAACCTATCACTTGTATTCTAAGACCCAGGTTGCATCACCTGACAAAATTTATATTTTTAGCCAATTAGGACTCTTTTTTGGGCTACATTCTTTGGAAAAAACAAATGCATCAACTGACAAAGTTTTATAATTCTAAGCCAATGAAAACCTAAGATCTTAAATAAAGCCATAAAATGTCACCGTGACCTTTTTTTTGGGGAAAATTGAAAAACCCAAGATGCATCAACAACAAAATTTTTGGGTGCCAATAAGTACCGGAAAATCCGGTCTTAAATATAGCCATAAATTGTCAAAAGTAGGTCATGTGACCTAAATTTTGGTTGACATTTTTGGAGTCCCAAGATGCATCTGCTGACAAAGTGTAATAATTTTAAGCCAATAAATACCTGAGATATTCAAAAGTAGGTCACCATGACCTCTTTTTTTTAGCAAATTCTCTGAAAACCCAAGATGCATCAACTGACAAAGTATGATGATTCTAAACCAATTAGTACTGGGTCATAAATATACCCCTAAAATGTCAAAAGTAGGTCACTGTGACCTACTTTTTATGAACATTTTGGAAAACCAAAGATGCATCAACTGACAAAGTTTATATTTTAGCCAATAATACGGAATATTTAAATATAGCCATAAAATGTCAAAAGTAGGTCACTGTGACCTTATTTTTGGTCGACATTTGGGAAACCAAAGATGCATCAACTGACAAAGTTTGATGATTCTAAACCAATAATAAAAAGATACTTAAATATAGCCATAAAATGTTGAAAGTAGGTCACTGTGACCTAATTTTTTGTCATCACTATCTGAAAACCCAAGATGCATCAACTCACAAAGTTTGATGATTCTAAGCCAATAAATACCTAAGATACTTAAATATAGCCATAAAATGTCAAAAGTAGGTCACCGTGACCTACATTTTGTGACTTTTCAGAGTCCCAAGATGCATCGCCTGACCAAGTTTGATGATCGTAGGTTTGAAGGTATTCAAAATATGCCTTTTAAACAAATTTTAAAACAAATGCCTGTAAAATTCTAAAAGTAGGTCACAGTGACCTACCTTTTATTAATATGTTTTTAGGTCCAAAGATGCAGCATCTTTAAAATTTTATGATTCTTACCCTTTCAATGCCTGAAATAATGAGATAAAATGTTTTAAAAAGGATAGGTCTTAAAGTTAAAAAGTAGGTCATGGTGACCTACTTTTAAGTTTACTTTTCAAGGGCTCAAGATGCATCAACTGAGTAAGTTTGATGATCATAGGCCTTAAAGTTTCCCAAAAAATCCTTAAATCAATTTTAAAACAAATACCCGCGAAATTTTAAAAGAAGGTCATCTGCCTACTTTTAGTTAACATGATGTGAAGTCCTAAGATGCATAACTTACAAGATTTTATGATCCTAGTCCTTATAGTAAGCAAAATATAGACATTTTCATTAATTGTAAATTTAGGTCAACTTTAAAGTGACCTTGGCCCCCGCCCTTTTCCCCAGGGTCATGCCTTGAACAATTTTTAATCTTTAACATATCCCGATCCTTGTATGTAAGTTTGGTGAAAATCTCCCCTGGTTCTGGAGAAGATTTTTTTAGCAAACAGTATTTTTTGGGTTTTTTTTTCCTGATTATCTCCCCTTGTTTAAGGGCGCAACCCTTTTTTGTATAAATGGTAGCCCTTAGGCCAAGGATCCCCTTTTCAAATTTGACTCTGATTGGCCAAGGGGTTCTTGAGTTATGGCCCATATTCTAAAAAGTTAACGCACACCGCACGACGCATACCGCACACCGCACAAATGGCCATAGCGTTAGCTCTTTAAGCCTTGGCTCAGAAGAGCTAAAAAAACACATTTAAATATTTGAAATTGGAAAATTTTTTTTCTTCCCAAAAGGTTTATATAAAAAAAACTACCCCTGGTACATGGCTGGAACGTTATTTTTACAACTTACACGAACGATCACGTTGCACAACATTGCACGATTAAACCTGTTACACGAACGATCTTTCACGTTCACGATTCTCACGCAGTTTACACGATTGTTAACGCAAACACACGTTTCTTCACTCAAAATAGTTCAAGATATTTAGGAATCAATATTCTCAAAACGAAATAAAACGTAATTCTTATTTAAGATTTCAAAGAATTATCAATATCATATCATAGACTTTAAAAAAAAAACGGAAAATGATTATTCTGTAACTAAATATATGCAAGACTTAATATTTCAGATTAAAAATAATTATTTCTAAGGTAATTCCCCAACAAAAAAAACGGATTTTGTTCGTTCTCCTAGACGATGTATATGTATGTGGGTCGTATAATTTGAGTAAATTGGATATATGATATGCAGAAAGTGGGGGAGATTCAACCAAAATGGCAGGGTGTAATGACTTAAATTATTATTACAAATGTTATCCCTATGTTTCCATTGATTCAATGTCTGATAAAAATTGCTAATTATTCAACTTTTTTATTCGCAGAAATTTGAAATTAATTACAAATAGGCTCAAGAGATGTTGAACACAGATAATCAAAACTCCCGAAAATCATGCCGTGTGCATGTTAAATTTCGTAAATAGTTATGTAAGCATTGAGAAATGTTTATTTCTTTGTAAAAAAAAAATAAATTTATTTTCAATGAATTGATTTCAAGATTATCTTG